CTGCTTGGATACGTAGGAACTGTTTGTGTAAGGGGGGCTGCCTTCATATGGGGGGCCGTTTGGGTACGGGGGTACTGCTCAGGTATGGGGAGGACAGTTTAGGTACAGGGGGTCTGCCTCACCTCTGTCCCTGGGAAAGGCGATGGGACAACTAATCCTGGGAACCATTTCTAAGCACATGAAGGACAAGTCATCAGGAGAAGTCATCATGGCTTCACCCAGGGGAGGTTGTGCCTGGCCAACCTGATCACCTTCTGCGATGGGATGATGGGCCTGGTAGACGAGGGGAGCGCAGTGGAAGCGTGGGCTGGATGAGCAGACAGTGAGGTGCATTGAAAACTGGCTGCATGGCCAGGCCCAGAGGGTCTGGTGAGGTTGGTGATCAGTGGCACAAAGTCTAGTTGGAGGCCAGTAACGGTCGGTGTACCCCAGGGGTCAATACTGGGTCCAGTCCCATTTAACGTCTTCACTGATGATCTGGAGGATGGGGCAGAGTGTACCCTCAGCAGGTTTGTAGGTGACACCAAGCTGGGAGGAGCAGCTGTACACCAGAGGGTCATGCTGCTCTGTAGTGCAGAGAAATCTGGACAGGCTGAAGAAATGGGCTGACAGGAACCTCATGAAGTTCAGCAAGGGGAAGTGCAAAGTCCTGCCCCCGGGGAGGAGCAACCCAATAGCACCAGTACATGCTGGGGGCCACCCAGTTGAAAAGCAGCTCAGCAGAAAAGGCCCCGGGGGGTCCTGGTGGACACCGAGTTGACCATGAATCAGCAACGTGCCCTTTCTGCAGAGGTGGCGAATGGCGGCCTGGGCTGCATTAGGAGTGTTGCCAGCAGGTGGAAGGAAGGGATCTTTCCCCTCTGCTCAGCACTGGTGAGGCCACCCCTGGAATGCTGGGTCCAGTGCTGGGCTCCCCGGTACAAGAGAGACGTGGACAGACTGGAGAGAGTCCAGCGAGAGGCCGCTAAGATGCTGAAGGGCCTGGAGCATCCCTCCTATGAGGAAAGGCTGAGGGAGCTGGGACTGCTCGGCCTGGAGCAGAGAAGGCTCAGGGGGATTGAATCCACGTCAGGGAGGGTGCCAAGAGGACGGAGCCAGGCTCTTCCCGTGGTGCCAGTGCCAGGACCAGAGGCCGTGGGCACAAACTGGACCCCAGGAGGGTCCCTCTGAACAGCGGGGGACAGTCCTCAGTGTGAGGGTGACACGGGCACAGGCTGCCCAGGGAGGTGGTGGGATCTCCGTCCCTGGACACTCTGGTCGTGGTCCTGGGCAAGCGGCTCCGGGTGGCCCGGACGGAGCGGGGGGTTGCACCGGGGGGGACGCCAGCGGGGCCCGGCCTCCGCCGGTCCGGGGGTGTTGGGCAGGAG